TTCTTCATAGTATTATCATTAAAACAATTCCTAAGGCGGATAGTCATATCGATAATAGTTTTAAACTCGTTAAGGAACTTGATGGTAGGCGGTTGAGTGAGGAATTCAGTTAATGTCACTGGATGTTGTTAGCCTCTTTACTAACATTCCCATTGACTATGCGATGGACTGTATCCAAGACCATTGGCGATTTATTTCTAGAAATTGTTGTTTACCGAAGGAGGAATTCATCAAAGCGGTTCAGTTTATTTTAGATTCTACTTTCTTTGTGTTTGATAGTTTATTTATAAACAGAATTATGGTACTCCCATGGGCTCCCCGTTGTCTCCCGTCATCGCGGATTTAGTTATGCGTAAGTTGGAGAGTAGAGCTTTGTCTTTGATTAAGTTTCCGTTGCCCCTTTACTATAGGTATGTTGACGATGTAATCATGGCAGCGCCTGTTTCTTCGGTTAGTTCCATTCTTGATGTCTTTAATTCTCAGCATCCTAGGCTTCAGTTTACTATGGAAGTGGGGGCTGATAGGTTAAATTTTTTGGATGATTAGGGATAATGAGTTTATTGCGAAAAATATTACCTCGGCCGGGACTTAAACCCGGATCTCTTGTATTCCGTATGAGCGTCCTAAGCCATTAGACCACCGAGGCCTTAGTAATATTCTTCGCAATAATCAGTATATGTAAGAAGAACAACGCTTCTTGCAGGCAGCAAGAGTATGGAATACAAGAGATCCGGATTCAAATCCTGGTCGAGGTAATATTTTTCGCAATAAATTTATTTAAGGTTTTCAAACACATTGTTAATTTAATTTAACTAGTGATATTATTGCAATAGTTTAATTGCGTTAGATAAAGTCCGGAAAAATTTCGGCGCGCAGTTTAACTACAAAAATATGATATATATGCATGTACATATATAGGATATAGATAATTCACTGGGAATTATTTTAGACAAAAAGATCTAGCTTTGACCGTCATAGGCCTGAATATGCTTATACTTAGTATTTAATTTCCTGTCGGTCCGAATAAAATCTTATTATTATTATCTATTACTTCGTATACATATTTATCATTCTTATTCCTTAATAAAACTTTATAAACGCATTTTATAAGTTATTGTGTCATTTTACATTTTATTTATATGCATTATTTGTAAATTTTTTATGAGCCGTACATATCCCTCTTTCCCTATGAGTAGTCGTATATCCCACTCCTATGGAATATCTGGCAAAAATGCAAGGATTACAAAAAGTTCATTTTTAATACCAAAAATAAGCATTTCAGATTTCTAATATTTTTTTCATAGTTATGTAACGATGTACCTCCGAGAAGAGCATCGTTCTCGTTAATTTAAAATATAATGTGCCCAGGTAACCAACTGAAGTCACGCGAAGGCGGCCGAATACCGCCGATCGCTGCTCCTCATAAAATGTCTCGTATAGACACGCACGTGGGGATATCGATTGACGAGAATCCGCAAACCGAACTATAGCGAACCGAACTATTACGAGATCGCGGCATTGGTAAAATTTGCCAAATATGAAAGAAAACTCATTTTATCAGGATGACTTTTTGCCTGATATCCTGATTACGATCCAGATTCTAGAAAAATACTATAGTATACGTAACGTATATTGTAGTATTTCCCTAGACTTTCGTATACGTTTCTTTTCAAGAATAGGGGCCCTGATCCGAGAATCCGGCCGACGACGAGTCCTGGAGACCTATTCTGTAACTCTTAACGCAAATTTCGTTATCATTGTAACTTTCTTCCATGATGAAAGAGCTGCGCAGTAGCGTTATAATGATAACGAAGAGTTACAGAATAGGTTTGCTGGGGGTGAAGCGTACTTCACCTCCGTTGAGCGTTCTCAATAATGTTCGAAACCGGCTCCCGCTGTTTCCGCTGAGTAGACAAGACAAGGGAGTAGAGTGTACACTGTCTCCGTAGGGCGTTCCTAGTAGTCGAAGGGCAAATTTCAATCCTTATACACGATGCGATCGGCAAAAACCAGATGTATGTGAAGTTAGCCCCCCTTTTTTAGAAAATTAAAATCCCGATAATTGTTCCAGTTTGTTCTGAGTTTGTTCTACATTGTTCCAAAGCGATATCATCTTATTCCAAAATGTTATCCAATAAAATGCAAAAAACGATTTTTTTTGTTAGCCCCTCTTTTTTGAAAAATAAAACAATTTCTTCTCGCTACAGATTGTTCTAGTTGTTCTAACATTGTTCCAAAAGGTCAATTCCATATA